AGGGGCTTCGTCGCTTACCCCCCCCTTTTCCCCCCTCCCCGGCCCGTCTGGGGCTCCGGGTCTGGGTGTTAGGTGTTAAATCCGGTATAAGCTGAGGTAAAGCCTCAGGCGAGGCGGCGTTGCCGGCTGCGTTCTTCCTCCCCTGTCAGGAGCAGCTGCTCAAGTGCCCCCCTGTCAGGAGCAGCTCCTCAAGTGCTAGAAAACAGCGTGTTGGGAAGGAACGGTTTGAAGTATCTGCCAGAATATCGAAGGGTATTTAAGGAAGGAAGGTGTCCTGGAGAAACTGGATGTCCCCAAGACCGTGAGAGTAAAGCTTGGTGGCGTACCTGCACGGGCAGGGACCCCAGGTGCTCCTTTTTCAGTCCTTTCCGTCTCTGTCGCCTAGGTTTGTGTTTTTTGTGGTTGGTTGGGTTTTTCTTTTCTTTCTTTCTTTCAAAGGAAACTCTTCTGAGTGTCTCATGAGTTGCATAAAGTGACGTGGATGTTAATCTGGTAATCGTGCCCTGTGTGCTGCCCGGCCCTCTGCCCGCAGAGGGGATGCAGGAAGGATGCAGGATGCTCCTGCTCTTCCCAGGGTGTGCGGTTGCGTTCTCCCCTCTGCCTGGCAGCTGTGTGCTGTGAAAAGCCCTGGAGATGTGGCCATCACGTAGCCTGCTCCTTTGGCTGAAAATGTGACAAGTATTAGAAAATAAAACTGCTTTCTTTTCAGTTGGCAGGATCTATCTTAGAACAGAGAGTGTTGTGTTTAGCTGTGGTCATATAAGTGAGTTTGTCCATACTCTGAAGAGCTTAAAGTTGAGTTTTTATGCCAAAGACTAAAAAAACCCCAGAGCTGTTGTCCCTATTGTACAGACAGGACTCTTGGGCTCAGAGAGATGCACTGACAGCTTTCATCTCCTGCGGTCAATCCGTGGCATACCCTGGCACTGAACCTTTAACCACTGCCTGTCTGTTTAACCATGGGATTATCTCCTGCTTTAGTTGCCTCTGTTAGGCAGCATTGAACCTCGTTCCTGTTTCTGAGACCAGAGAAAACTTAAATAAAGCTTGCTTTTCAAAACATGGCCTTGAGTGCAGTATCTAAAAGCTTGTTGTGAACTTTGTGAGTTGAGAAGGAAGGACTCCCTTTGTCTGGTCATTGTTTTTGATGTGCAACATAAGGTATTTTTCTCTACTTTATCTCTGCTGCAGGATAGCTGCTTAGCACAAGCTGATTTGTCCTATACAGCTGTTATGTACTTCACAGTAAGTGTGGCTGACACAGTGAACATGTGCGTCCAATTCCAAAATCTGTCTGAGAAAACAGATTATATTCACTGTTTGCCTTTGATTAATGAAGTAGGAAAACCATATAGCATATAATCCTAAAGCTGATAATAAAGAGAAGGAGACTACACGTGATACACAACTGTGATTAGGGTGATGTTGAAGACTTTAGGCGCAAAACCACAGAACTGTGGTGTTTGTGCAGAGTTTTTTAATATATAGGCCACATTGCAATTCTCTAGTCCTCATACATTTGTTTTGTGTAGTTAAAATTACTTAATGAGCAGTATTTTTAGTCGAGTGATGATTTGAGCTTTCAGTTATATGTTTTCACATGAGCAGTACAAGTGTTTTGTTAGTCTATAAACCACCCAAGATGAAACTAATTTGTGTATGATGGCAAGAAATTACAGTTTATTAATACTTTTTTTGATTGTACAGCGTGAATGGGTTAGAGAACAAAATTTAATTTCATTTTTTTTCAACTTTGCCATCAGAAAACATTGAAGTAAGGTTGTATATAAATTTTCTGAAGAGTGAGAACCCTAACCTGACAGCAGATTTTTTTAAATTTAACTTGGTATATGACAAAAAATAATTCCTCCCAGTGTTTTCTACGGGGGGACGGGGGACGACACCCTATCAAATTCTCCCTTTTTTTTCTCTTTGTAAATCAAGTGTAAACTTACAAAACATGCATCAGGTTGCAGATGAGGTTTTTGTAGAGGGAAGAGTAATAGTCCTTTTCTGGATAATAGAAATTTCCATAATTCCATCATGTATAATGAATTATTACATTTTTAACAGTTTAGTTGAGCTAGAAGGATAAGTGATAGAAACTAAGAGAGAGGATGAATTTTGAGGACTTGCAAAGTCCTTTGGCAACTGAGGAGTGTGAGCTGGTTCCAGCTATGGGAGCAGCTTGGGATGATGACAGATGTGAATTGTAGGAGTGACAAAGGGGACTTAAAAAACAAAATATGTGAAATTCATGAGGCAGTAGCTGGGGAGTGGTAGAAGTTGAGATTAGACAGAAGAAGATTTGTATATGTGAGATTCAGAACAAAGAATGGATTTTATTTTATTCTGGGGAAAAAAAAGGGGGAAAAAAAGACCAGAAGCTAGTAAAATTACTAAACTGTCAAAGCAGCATGTTTAGAACAGCAAGCAAGAGACTTTAGCAGTGGGTTCTCTTTTTATTTAGTTGACTGTAGACAGAAGATAGTAAATGCTGAAAGAAAGAGCAAGAGACCTAAAATATAAGATAGGAAATAGATGGTGTGCGAGGATATTGTAAAAGACTGGTAATGCACTGAAGTTACCTGTTAACTTAGTAGACGTCTCTGAAAGGAATTCTTCATTCAAAAATAGTTTTGACACATTAATCAGCTAATCCTTGTGGTATTTTATGAAATAGATGTCATGACAGGTAGTAAACACTGGAGGAGAGTGGAATTAATTTCTAAGCTATAGCAAGCATTAAAACTTATCACAATTAAGAACATCTAATAACTGCTGCCAGCTTATTTACTGGCAATTTTCGTAACACAGATAGAATATGGGTCCACTAACCAATCTTTATTCCTGCGGTCCTGTCTAACATGGGCTTGAATGGGTAATGCCATGGAAGTAATCCGTGCGGATTTAGTGGAATTGTATGTTGACAGCAAGTGTTGCAGGGCCCAAAGCTGGTGTGCTGAATGCTCTTGGACAATAACTGAAATAGTTCGAAAATTGAGACATCAGATCTTTTTGCAGTAATGGAGATACTAATCTACAGCAGCTATGTTTTTTTCCAATTTAGTTGATGTACACTGTAAGCAATGTGTGAAGCTGCCAAACAAATATCATCCTCCATCCTTAGAGAAATAAAAACTAGAGACATGTCGGGGTTTGGGCTGAACCGGTCACTGGGGGACTGGCAGATGCTCCCCCCAACTCTCTTCAAAGAGAGAGGTAGGGGAGGGACAGAGAGACTTATGAGTTTAGAAGTATTAATAATAAAATAGAAAGAAAATAATGAAATATATACAAAACCAAATCAAGCTCCCAGGATGATGATCAGGTCACCAGCTGCCACTGGGGAAGTCCCAGTCTGGACTCGATGATGGACGGGAACTGGATTCTCGATCTGGATTCAGGATCAAAGGCAAATGAACAGAGAGAGTCCTCTTTGGACGCCGGACATTGAAGAAAGAGGGCTGACCCTTTGATCCCTCAGCTTTTATATTGAGCATGAGGCAGATGGGATGGAATATCCTGTTGGTCAGTTTTGGGTCACCTGTCCTGTCCCCTCCTCCCTGCAGGTGTGACCCCTCTACTCTTTTCTGGTTCCAACCCTCCAACAGGGCACACAACAAAGTTATCTGGCCTTGGATGTTAGAACAGTAAGTACAAGCAAGAACCTCTCTGCATACCATTCCTTGGCATCAGCTATAATCATAGGTCTTATCACTCTGAGAGCAAACAGCATCTGTACAATATGCTGCTAATTTCAGTAGTTAGAAGCAGCCCAGCTGGAAAGTAAAGTCATTGAAGAAAATTGGTCCTGTTTTACCTCAAACCAGGACAACACAATAGGACATATCACACAAATTGTGGTAGGAATACTTTACAGAATAATTTTGAGCATTTAGAAGTGTTTCTAACTTCAATTGTCATATTTCTGTTTTTCATTTGTCTAAGAAAGTTATAGCTCTACTGAGGCTAAATAAAATCTTCAATGTTACGGGCTTAAAAAACATAGAAAACTTCTTTATAGAAATCTAAAATCCTTGTCTTGGAAAACTACAGGTATTTTTGGTTATTCTAAACCATTCTGTTAATCAAACTTGCTCATGGCAAAATACAATTCAAGGAGTGAGGGTTTCTTTCCTTTTTCCTGTTCTGAAGTGCCCAAACCACAATAGGAAGTCATCCATGGGGAGAATAGCTACTGCTGCAAAATGTTCTTGTCAAGCTGGTCACCCCATGATGAGAAAAATTACTGGGTTTAATTAAATTTTTAAAATATTTTTACATACATCATAGTCATATCAGCTTTTTCTGAAGATCCCAGTACATTATTACTATGATGAGCTCTGACTACATGTTTTTCTTGAA